CCAAAGTGCTCAGTTATTTTTGAAGGTGTCTGTAAATTTTCTGCGTTTACTCTTCTCAATTATTTTTTTTCTACCCTGACTGATGGATTTGTATTTCATTTATTTATTTATCTATTTGTTTATTTATTTATTTATTTGTTTATTTGTTTGTTTTTAGTATGAGAGATGTTGTTTTGTTTTTCCTTTGTGTCTCAGACGTTGAAGGATCAGAATCACTCACCTAACCTAACCTAACCTAGCCTAACCTAACCTAGCCTAGCCTAACACGGTTTAAATTAATCTTGAGTTACATTGGTGCATTATATACACGTAGTAAGGCCAGTACACCTAGTGGGGAGGTACCTTGTGTGTGTGTGTGTGTGTGTGTGTGTGTGTGAGGGTCATGCTCTCGGTGTCAGGGGTGATAACAGTAATGACCAGTTCCCCCAAGTGACAAATTACACCTCTTCATCAGCCTCCACGTCAACTAATTAGCATAATGCAGCCGAGCGTGTCTATGTCATCAGATTTGTTTATAGTGTAATGCCTCTTCTCTCTCTCTCTCTCTCTCTCTCTCTCTTGTGTTCCGGTGAATGTGTTCAGTCAATGCCGTGTGTGTGTGTGTGTGTGTGTGTGTGTGTGTGTGTGTGTGTTTTGGGAACAATCTCGTCACTCAATCTGTGTAAATCAGGCTTATCAAAATATATGTATAACACTGTAAAACTGTTGCAACGTTGAGATAGTATTCATGATTAATTACCCAGAGTTTTTTTTTTAATTAATATTTTGTGTTTTGTAAGTAATTCTCAAGTGCAGGTGTGGGGAGCTCGGGCGGAGGATCAGGGCAAATTGATAAGCATTCCAAATTAATGAGTTGGTAATCTGTTTAATAACTTGTGTACAAATATTGAATAAACCAAAAAAATCACAGGGAAATGAGGACTTTTAATAATAATAATAATAATATCAATAACAATAACAAAACAATAACAACAACAACAATAGCAATAATAATAATAATAATAATAATAATAATAATAATAATAATAATAATAATAATAATAATAATAATAATAATAATAATAATAATAATAATAATAATAATAATAATAATAATAATAATAATAATAATAATAATAATATAATAAAAATAACAAAGTCAATAATAATATTAACAAAATAATAACAAAACAATAATAATAATAATAATATACTTTTAAAAATGATACTATGCGTTATAACAGCTTCATATAAATTAGTATCACCCAAGAAATAAAACCGACTTTGGGAAAAAAAATGAAACGAAAAACCAACAGAACTTTGTAAAATATTAACTAAGTGAAGGAAAATAACGTTTCAGTCTTCTTCAGTCATTAATTTCAGATGTTTCAGTCGTATGTCCTGACGTCCAGATTCTGAAAACTTCCCACGATCAATAATCCTCGTAACTGAAGCTGTAAGAACGCCCCTGACTGTTTGGCTTAAGCTTAAACACACTGGTATACTATTCAGATTACCTTAGCTGGATACGTTCTCTTAGCATCAGTTAGGGAGAAAAGTTACATAGAATTTACCTTAACTTTATACCTTCACTTAGCATGAGTTAGAATACAAAATTACATTGAGTCTACCTTAACTATATACCTTCACTTAACAAACCAGTTAAATTACGATGATTTACCTGACCTGACCTAACCTGACCTGACCTGACCTAACCTACATACGTTCACAACAACCCCGGCAGTTAGCGGAGAAAAAAAAATTATTTTAAACTCTTCTTAAATGTATTACAAGACTCGATCTCCTCTCAAAGACAAGATATTTTTTTAGCAGGTTGTCGAGGAGGTAAAATTTCCTTAGTGAATTCAATTAACCTGGAATTCAATTAAGAGACAAGATGACTTTGAACACAGGGTAAACAGGTTTGGCTGTGATGGTAACTGGAAACAGACTTGATATTTGGTTATAATTTGGTCTAAGAAATGTTTGGTTACGTTAGGTTTGATTTGGTTTGGTTAGGTCAGGTTAGGTTGGTTGAGTTAGGTTAAGTTCTGGTTGTTGGACTGTTTGGTTAAGTATCCATCAAGTCGTTAATTCTCTGTTGTGTGTGTGTGTGTGAGAGAGAGAGAGAGATAGAACGAGAGAGAGAGAGAGAGAGAGAGAGAGAGAGAGAGAGAGAGAGAGAGAGAGAGATATGGAGGATTACAGAAGTAGGGAGTGACAGACAGACAGACAGACAGACAGATAGTACTAGATAAATAAAAACACTTATAGACAGAAAGGAAGACACAAAGGTAGGTAGACAGATATAACTACCCATATAAAGTCTACGGACTCGGCGCACCCTCATTCAACTACTACACCTAAATAATAACGGAGGTCTGTCTACAATGAAATAAAATACAATATTTTGGGGTCAACCACATTTATTCAATTCTTCCTTTAGGGTTGTTAGTAAACGACATTGGACAGTTATATAGTAATTTACCACCAGTCCAACCATTCATTCATTCATTCATTCATTCATTCATTCATTCATTCATTCATTCGTCCGTCCATTCATTCATTCATTCATTCATTCGTTCGTTCGTCCGTCCATTCATTCATTCATTCATTCATTCATTCATTCATTCGTCCGTCCATTCATTCATTCATTCATTCATTCATTCGTTCGTCCGTCCATTCATTCATTCATTCATTCATTCAGCCCTATCTCATTCGTCTCAAGTCTTATTCCCATTCCTATCTTATCTATTCCTATCTTATCTGTCCCGTCCATCTATCCATTCATTCATTCATTCAGCCCGTCGAGTCTATCCATCTAGTCGGCCCGTCCATTCATTCATCTATCTATCCATTCGTCCATTCATTCATTCATTCATTCATTCATTCGTTCGTTCGTCCGTCCATTCATTCATTCATTCATTCATTCATTCATTCATTCGTCCGTCCATTCATTCATTCATTCATTCATTCATTCGTCCGTCCATTCATTCATTCATTCATTCATTCATTCATTCGTTCGTCCGTCCATTCATTCATTCATTCATTCATTCATTCATTCATTCGCCTGTCCGTCCGTCCATCCATCCATCCATCCATCCATCCATCCATCCATCCATCCATCCATCCATCCATCCATCCATCCATCCATCCATCCATCCATCCATCCATCCATCCATCCATTGATTCATTCATTCATCTGCTCGTCCGTCCGTCCATCAAACCATCCATCCATCCATCTATCTGTCTATCTATCTATCTGTCCATCTATCTGTCTGTCTATCAAACTATATCCATTCATCTGTCTGTCTATCAAACCATTCATCTATCCATCTATCTATCTATCTGTTCATCCATCTATCCATCCATCCATCCATCCATCCATCCATCCATCCATCCATCCATCCATCCATCCATCCATCCATCCATCCATCCATCCATCCTTGTTGCATCCTGTTGATTAATTGCAACATAACACTGTATGACGTACTGGGAATTGTAACTCTACCTGAAGCTGTAGCGATATACGAGTATATATATTTTTTTCATTGTTGGTGGAAAATGTTGTCATCACAGAGTCATATTTGTTGTATATGTTGGAAAATGTTGTCAAGTTGTTGTATGCTCGAAAATGTTGTCAAGTTGTTGTATGTTGAGAAATGTTGTCAAGTTGTATGTTGGAAAATGTTGTCAAGTTGTTGTATGCTCGAAAATGTTGTCAAGTTGTTGTATGTTGAGAAATGTTGTCAAGTTGTATGTTGGAAAATGTTGTCAAGTTGTTGTATGTTGAGAAATGTTGTCAAGTTGTTGTATGTTGGGAAATGTTGTCAAGTTGTGGTGTACAGAGGTATATGTTGGTAAATGTTGATGTTATTGTTATTGCAGTGTGATTTAATTTGACGTTGCAAGATATCTGTTATAATACAGTTATTACTTTAGTACGATGTGGCAATTATGTTTTCAACTACGTGAGGAGATAATGTTTATTTTCTTGTGATTTTATTATTTTTTCTTCGTTATCTGGATGTCTTTTAAAATGTCTTTTAAAATATCTTATAAAACGTCTTCTAAGTTGTCTTCTAAAATGTTTTCTAAAATGTTTTCTAAATTGTCTTGTAAATTGTCTTCTTAAATGCCTTCTAAAATGTCTTTACAGATATCCTTTGACGATGGAAAATAAGTTTATAAAGACAGATAAATAATATTGGAAGCTTTTATTCTTGTAACTTATTTTCATTGTCACAGATTTTTTTTTTATTGTTGTTGCAAAAAATATATATATATATATTATTCTCATCATTGCCGAAAATATATTGTTATTGTTATTGTTGTTGTAAAAAGACTCTTACATATTCGTTGGTAAATTATTCTTTCATTGTCCATGCAAGGAAAAAAATCATTGTCGTTGCAAAAAAATATTAAATTATTTTGTTTGTAAATAATTTAAATCTCGTTGTAAAATAGTGTAAATGAAATGCTGAAGTTTTTTGTTGTTTTATCGTTGATTTTAGTGTCGTTGGGAGAAATGGCCGACTTAAGGTGTTTGTGTGTTTAGAGTGTGTGGTAGAGTGTGTGGTAGAGTGTGTGGTAGAGTGTGTGGTAGAGTGATGTTTACACCGACACACGTTGCCTTTATCGAGGTAGAGAGATCACTTGGTTTATGTTTGGAGGCAGGTGTTGATGGTTGTGTTGAGGTGTGGTGTGAGTATATGGAGAGCCCAGTTTCAAACCAGATCACAACTTGGGTGTAAACAGATCAGAGAAGTTGTCATGGCACTGGGGATCAGTCGCACTCTCTGTATTTATTTATTTATTTACTTATTTTTGTATATATTTTCCTGACAATTGGATGCATAAAACATATCAGATTACAGAATACAAAACACTACAATATAAATTACAGTTACAGGAGTGTATCGTCAAGGAGACAATGTTACACAATCAATTGAAATACAATACAAAATATGGTGACGTTTGAGATGTCATAACCTTTATCTTTTGACCTTTGACCTCAACAGGCATGGTGTGGTGGGCGAGTGTGATTCATGATGACCCCGGGACCGTTGTTGACCCTCGTCTGCCTCCTGGCCGCTGGTGAGTGTTGTGTCTGTGTCTGTTTTTGTTTTAGTTTTTGTCCTTGTGTATGTTTTCTTAGACAGAATTCTGGAGTTTGGATTGTTGACCCAGCAGTCTCTCTCTCATGTAAAACCCAGAACAATAGAATTATCTTTATCGATCATTTGTTCATATATGTAAAAATTATTCTGGGTATTAGAATAAAATAAAACGTTTACCTTTCAATTAATAATAATATCTACCTGGTGTTAAATAAAGTAGACTAGACCAAGAATTAGATCAAAATATCTTAGTGAAGTTTTGGTTATAATCTTACAGGTGGAAGAACATTGTCAGTCTTACATAAAGCGGTTATTAGGTTGACTAACTTGTCATCGAAGTAATAAAACTCCCTCAAGTAGAAAAATAATCTATCAGTCAGTACATAATCCCTATCACGCTGAAACATCATCTATTAGGTAGATAGAAGAGGCGTTTGTTTATCTGACGAACGCGAATTAAAATCCTAATGTGTAAAAATATCCATCAGGCAGGCAGAAAAGGCATGCAGAAGGGTAAAAAAAACTCACGTGTAAAAACATCCACTTAGGCAGGCAGAAAGGGTATGCAAAAGAGAAAGAAAAAACCCCTCAGGTGTAAAAACTTCCATTAGTCAGGTCAGGGAAGGCGGTCACTGGTCTTGACTAACGAAGCCAAACACTACTTCTTACATGATCAGAACACTTGAGTAAAACACTCAGCCGAGGAGAAACAATTTGCAGTATATACCAATTTCTGCATCAGCGGCCCCAGTTTTCCCTCCAACACACGTAACATTATGCAAAAATCTGTTTTCCCGATATCTGGAGAAGTTATTCCACCCTGGCGGGAGAGAATTTGGGTACTGGGTGTTGTCGACTACCATCAAGGGAGTGAGAGAGAGAGAGAGAGAGAGAGAGAGAGAGAGAGAGAGAGAGAGAGAGAGATGTATATGTGTACACAGATACATAGGAGCATGTAAGTACATATTATTATTAAAATACTTGAATAACCTCATACATACACACTATATCACTTCTCTCTCTCTCTCTCTCTAGTTTTATTTACTTGCGTACTGTAATGCAGAAACAGAACAGGACCCAGACTTCAGATTTGACGGATTTATTTTTTCCCCAAAAGTAGAATTTCCCCCCAAAACAGTCTATTGACCTTGCACATACCATTCAGCAACTTTTGGTGTATTTTTCATCAATAATTAACTATGTATGTCTATCCTGGCCCACAGTGTGTCATTACTGTGGTCAATATTTATAGTAGAGGACGTAATTTAATATTGGTTTTGGTTTCTGTTTTATGATAAGTTCTGACAAAAACGAGACATTTTTCACCTCTGACACTTGTGGCGCATTTTACCCATAACCAAGATATCAGGAGTTGAAAATCAGAAAACTTGCCACTCAGGTACAGGAAGTGACAGCTACGGTCAGCAGCTGGTGGGCCATGCAGATCAACACTGACAACCAGATCACGTTACCTTTACATCGGTCACAATTTTTTGGGCGACACAAGTGCCTCTGTGGCATCGTCCTGGACTCGACCCTGAGAATGGTCATGCGTACTGCTTACTGAGTGTGGACGGAGGGGGTGAGAGGGGTAATGAGTGGGAGACACGGATGATGAGTGGGAGATACGAGAGATATAATACATTGATTGTATGCGTGAGATGGATGGGAGAGTGAGAGAGAGAGAGAGAGGGAGGAGAGAATCTATGGAGAAAAGGGATTGGGTGAGGTATATGTTGGTTAGGTTTAAGAGATAGAGGGAGAGGTTGGGTGAGAGGGTGAATAGCGTGGGAGAGCAGCAAAAGGGTAAGAGTGTAAGTGGACGTGAGAGGGGGGAGGCATGGTGAGAGACGGGAAAGGTTGTACGATAAAGAATGTTGGGAGTTAGACGACTAAAGAGAATGTGTAGGGAGGAGGTGAGAGTGAATGTGTGGGAGTGAAAGAGGAGAAGATTATGTAGGAGAAATAGGTCAAAGAACAGTGTGTTGGAGAGAGAGAGATAAAGGAGTATTAGAGAAAGTAACAACTAAAAGGAGTAAGTGATAGAGAGAGAGAGAGAGAGAGAGAGAGAGAGAGAGAGAGAGAGAGAGAGAGAGAGAGAGAGAGAGAGAGAGAGAGAGAGTAGTAACATAGTGGTGAGCGTTAACAGTGGCCATCAGGAGCAGCAGAAAGGCCTCTAGCAAATGGACACTATCAATTCCTTCTTTCCGTAACACATCTCCCTGGCAACCACCTCCATCCTCTGTCCACTGGCCCTCCCACGCCTGTCTCCGTCACTCCTGAGAGTTAAGTGGTTTCCAGGACCTCTAGAGAACACCCTTGTGGTTTCTATTGCTTTTTCCTGGGAGGTACATGATTTCCAGGACCTCGGGAGAAAATCCTTGTCCCTTTTTTCCGTCATTCTCGTAAGATAAGTGATTTCCAGGACATCAGAAAGAGGTTATTAAGAATTCTTTTGTTGCTCTTGGAAGTCAAATCTTTTTCAGGGCCTCAGGGAAATGCTATTGTGTGTTTTTTTGTCGCCGTTCCTTTGAAGTTATGACGTTTCAGACCTTCAAATATTTTATTGTGGATTCTGCTGTCACGTGATGAAATTAGTGGATTCCAAGACCACGGGAGGAAGAGGCGATTGTGGTCTTCTGCTGGACCTCGCCTGGAAGCTGCTAAGATAGTCTCCAGGTCTACAATGAGTGAACTGGTTTAATATTTTCCTGGAAGCTAAGGGATGAGAAAGGGAGCATTGTAACACACATCTCTCTCTCTCTCCCCGTTTACTATAAAGACTAAACTATACTCACTAGTAGATGGAATTTTCTTTCCTAGGACAGAGGAGAAGAAGTAACCTGGATAATGACCTCGACAATACTAGACAAGAAAAGCGGTGTAGTTCCTTTTCTTTTACTGAAGTGGAAACGTCAAGCGAAAATCCTATTACTGGGCTGTATATATAAAATTTCTCTCTTGCCTTTTGTGAACCGGTATTTTTGAGGTGCCTTTTGTGAACCGGTATTTTTGAGGTGCCTTTTGTGGACCGGTATTTTTGAGGGTTTTTTTCTGGACCGGTATTTTTGAGGTGCCTTTTGTGGACCGGTATATTTGAGGGGTATTTTCTGGACCGGTATTTTTGAGGTGCCTTTTGTGAACCGGTATTTTTGAGGTGCCTCTTGTGGACCGGTATATTTGAGGGTATTTTCTGGACCGGTATTTTGAGCAAAAGCTCTTTTGTGAACCGGTATTTTGAGGGTTTTCTGGACCGGTATTTTTGAGGTGCCTTTAGTGAACCGGTACTTTTTAGGCGAAATCCTCCAGTGTTGTTGTCAGCTGTGTGTGTTGTCAATACGGTTAAGGTAACAAGCGATTTCCTAAGCACAGCCAACGTTTATACTGACGTGGGCTCTCTCTCTCTCTCTCTCATACACACACACACAGAGAAGTTGTGTGGGATGCAAGTGAGCGGAAAGGGACGTAGGGGAGAACTAATAGAAAATGGACGAACAGAACGGGGAGTAACTGTGTGTGTGTGTGTGTGTGTGTGTGTGTGTGTTTAATAATACACAGACTGGCTACCACATGTGGAGGGCGTGGGTGAGGCGTTTAGGGCGTGGGTGAGGCATGGAGGGCGCGGGTGAGGCGTGGAGGGCGCGGAACAGACTCTACTAGATAAACGCCAACACAACATTTCCACCGATATTGAAACTGGAAATTGGTTCATGTACACTCTCATGATGATGTAGCCGAGGCCCTGTTGGCTGGTTGGTTGGTTGGTTGGTTGGCTGATTGGTTGGTTGGTTGGTTGGTTGGCTGGTTGGTTGGTTGGTTGGTTGGTTGGTTGGTTGGTTGGTTGGTGGCTGATTGGTTGGTTGGTTGGTTGGTTGGCTGGTTGGTTGGTTGGTTGGTTGGTTGGTTGGTTGGTTGGTTGGCTGCTCTGATGACTGACTGTGGAGGTAGAACTATGCTAGTAGTGCTGATATGCCAAACGTTTACACACACACACACACACACACACACACACACACACCCCTGACCATGGAATCCGGAGATGTCTCTATTTCTCTTAGGCTTACAGACTTCTCAGCGACGGCAGCCATGTTGTCCACCTTTCAGTCACCCTACCTGCGACCTCCCCCCCACCCACCCCCCTACTCCCCTCCTCCTCACCCCCTTACAGTACCACTCTTCCTCACCCCCCCCTACAGTACCAAGACCAGGATGGGTACCTCTCTGCTTTCTTCTCTTCATCAGTGATTACCGACGACTCCACCACAGGTATTAGCGTTAAAAACATTGTCTCCTGATTACAGTATCTTCCAGAAAACCCCAGAACAGTCTACACTCAGGATTGGACCGCCGCCAGCCACGTCACCATCAACCATAACACGACCACGGTTTAGCACATTAACCTCTCCTCCGACTGTGTTCCGCCTCCGACCATATCTCTGGGCTCCAACACCCAACACGCTGGGAGTTCCATCAGCGTCAAGATAAATAACAAGATGAGGGGGTAAAGGAGCTTGTTGGTGTCGTCAAACCTTCTATATATCGCGTCTACTATCCTTCTTTAACAACTGTCATCTTTAATCCTCTAAGTTCAGGAGTATTTTCACAACCATCATCTGGACGCTTCCCTTGTTGAGTCTTCTTGTGTAACTGTTATGCGATAAAGACATCTAGAAAAGGAGTAGAAAAGGGCGAGGAAGATTATTCTCTATCTTTCTTATCTCTACCCCATCTGTTGGATCGGGACAAAGTTTGGGACAAAGTTTGGGACAAAGCTGCTTCATCATCTCCGACCACCTGAGGTTCCTCGTTTACCACCACAGCAGCGTCAAGTCTATAACATGGACCTAACACAGAACACTACACCACCAGCCTCACCTCCAACCACTGCAAAGATCATCAGCGACTCTTAGATCCCTTACGTTATTTATTTTTGTACTGAAAGCTTTTGTTAAACGACCCTTTCCCCTGTCACGATTT